TGTTCCGTCTCTAGCTGTGTCTCTCTCTGTCAGATAAATAAATAAAATCTTAAAAAAAAAAATCATGTTTATATCATTCATATCACTGGACTCCTACATCCTACTGATGCCATCACTGCTGTTTGCCATGCAATTCCCGTTCTACCCCCTTCCAGTCACGTGACTGAAGTGCACTTCCTGTCTCCCTTGCAGTTCATTGGGACCACGTGGATAATTCTGGCCAATGAGCTATGAGGAAAGAGATGGGCGTCACTTCCAATGTCAATGATGGAATTACAGTGCAACTAGCAACATTCAACCTGGGGGTTTGCATGTCCATGGTGAGCGGAGGCACGACAACCACTGATGGACGCAGTGAGAACAAGAAACAGACCTTTGTTGTTCGGAACTTCTAAAACCTTGGGGTTGTTTGTTACCAGATGGTAACAAGCTGTCCCATTTCAATTAATACCACCCCTAGGTGGAGGAGATATCATTTTAATCACTTCCGAGTTGCATTCATTCCTTACCGAGCCCCTACTTTGTACTAGGAATTGTACTCGCTCTGGGGATACGGAAGCGCAGAAAGCACTTGCCTAGGTCCTTTGCCTGGGTCTGTGACTATAGATATAAAAATAGGGGGGAGATAAAAACTCTATTCACCTAAGTAATTTGGCTTGTCTGTTAACCTCTCTGAGGTCAGTTCCCTCATCTGTAAAATATCCATAATGCCTACCTTGCAAGGGTTTTATAAAGATTAGCAACAATGCCTAGTATATGAAGAGGAAACTAAACAACAGCTATAAATATTTTTTTTCACATTTCATAAAAAAATATTTTAGGCAAAGAACGAAAATGTAGCAGAAAATAAGGATTTAAATTCTCAAATTATCAGTTGCCATTTTTACATTATTCTTTATCCTAAGACATCTTGGTATTGGTGGTCCTTTTTCAATTTAGTGATTGGTACCAATTGGCCTGCCAGCCCCGCTCTGACTAGTTTCGGGATCTGTAGCGAGTAGCCTGGGCTTCCTTGGAGACAAACCGCATCAGAGAGGACCTTGTGTTTACATGGGCCGAGCTTGCTAAGGTCAAGTACCACCTTCCCACAAGCTCTCAGGAATATCCATGTGAAAGTGAACCTCTGACGTGTTGGGATCTTTTCTGCATTGGGGACAGCTCAAAGGTGGGAGAGGCAGGGCGAGAAAAGATGTCGTCCCCAGAGGATCGGTTGGCAAGAGGGATTTGAGAAGGTATGCATGTGGCCTACACAATGATTTTCATCAGTGTGAATGAATGTGTCTCCGAGAGTGGGTGTCCATGATTCAGGCCAGGCCCCAGTGCCTAAGCATGTGCATGATTTAGAAGTCTTCCCCTGCTTCCTCAGTGTCAAACAGAAATTGAGAAAAGAGGCTGCACATGGAGTCAGTTTCCTTGAGATAACCATCGCTGCCATCTCGAAACAGTCCCTCAACCCTCCTGGCAAGAGTGATGACATTTGGACCGTCTAGAAAACATGCAAAATAGCCAAGCATTTGCTTAATCTTTAGGACCTGAGCAGCAATGGAAAAACAAATTCAGTGCTCACACCCTGGGGAGCTAATCAAAGCCAGTGAGCTGTTGACTAACAAGCTTGAGGAATGGGCAGGTCTTAGGGTGTGAGGACAATGCTTTCAGTTTGGGGAGCTGGTGAGTATGCGGTCAGAAGTATGAATGTAAGCCCAGGTGAAAATGTTGGGGCTGAAGAGAAATATTTGGGAGTCATCCTTACATAAATAGTAATTGAATCCTTGAACATGACTGAAAATAATCCAGATTCTGGACAATGAAGGCAGGAGAGGTAAGAGGATGGTGTGAAAATCATCAAGATTGCTAAGAACATCAGGTCTTCTCCACAGTGCTGCTAGGAAAGAAAGAAGAAAAATAAAGAGGAACTTTGGGTTGGTCCCTGTCTTTTGTTTCAGCCATTAAAGCCTCAAAGTGGCAGTTCTTCCTAAGGAATAAACATAAAAAGTAAGGGCACAGGGTTTTCAAATCAGGTAAACTGGGATTTGAATCGGTTCCAAGATGTACTGCATGTGTGACCTTGAGCAAGTAATTTAATCTCTGAGTTTCAGTTTCTTCATCTATAAAATATGATAATATCTACAACAAATAGCGGTTTGTTAATTAGAGAATGACATTAGACGGTGCATCTATATGCAGTATGATGCCTTATAAATAATGTATGCAAAAGATGTCCCATAAAAATAGTATGATTATGATTATAAAAGAAAGATAGCTAGGTGTCCAACAAAAATCCACACACCCTCTTCCGAGGTATAGAGTCGTTGCTAGAAAGTGGATGCCCAGGGGCACCTGGGTGGCTCAGTCCATTAAGTGTCTGACTCTTGATTTTGGCTCAGGTTGTGATCTCCAGGGTCGTGGGATCAAGCCCTATGTTGGGCTCTGTGCTGGAGCCTGCATAAGATTCTCTCTCTCCCTCTCCTTCTGCCCCTCCCCACCCCTCCTTCTCTCTCTCTCTCTAAATAAATAAATAAATAAAGTTCAAAGGAAAAGTGGATTCCCAGCCAGACTACATTTCCCAGGCTCCCTTGCAGTTAGGTGGCCATGTGACTGAGTTCTGGGCAGCCGAATGGGAGAGGAACAGACCCACTCAACTCCCAGGTCTGGCCCATACAACCCTGCCATGCAGTTCTTCTCCATTTTCTTCTCCTACCAGCGGATGGAGTGTCAATCTTGGAAGCCACATGTTGGAGAGAGTAGAGTGAAGCCTGGGTCCCAGAATTATGATGTGGAGGAGGGTTATCCTGCTGAACTCTTCAATCATCCACTTGTCATGTGAGCAAGAAATAAATTGTGAGTGTGTTAGAGCGAGCCATTACATACTTGGGGGTCTATTTGTTACCACAGGTAGAAACAGCAAACAACAAATAAGGTGGCAGTTAGCCTGTTCTGATGGGTTTTATTTTTCAGTGACATGGCCCCTGAGCGTCAAGCATGTATCTAAGGGGCGCTGATAGATAATAGTATCATGTTAGTGCCTTCAGGACCCACTTCTGTACTCATAAGGGTGCGAAAAACTCAGAGATGTCTACTCTAATCTTTAGGGAGGAAGAGAAGAAATTGATAGTGTTAGGGTTAGATATCACAGGCTTTGAATAGATCCCATAGGAAAGAAAGGAGGCTCTGAAAGAGGCAGGGCATAGGAGGTTGAAGTTTGCAGAAGTGTGGTCAGTAAGGAATTTCTTGTGGCAGTGTGCCAGTGGGATTCAAAAACACAGGTGTTGGGGGGCACCTGACTGGCTCAGTGGGTGGAGCATGGGGATCTGGATCTTGAGGTTGTGAATTCAAGCCCCACGGTGGGTGTAGAGAATACTTAAAAATAAAATCTAAAAACAACAGCAACAACAAAAACCCCCCACAGATGTCATATATTCCTTTTATGTTAATTACATTGCTGAAATGTAAACCTTCTCCCAAAACTTAAACAAGTTTGATTTGTACACACACACACACACACACACACTCTATACTATATATCTCTAAATGTAGCACACAATTTTCTGTAGCGATATGGCTGAAAAGCTTTGGGAAAGTCAAAATGTAAAAGACTAACTACATTGTGCTCAGAAGGAAGGAAGGGTAATGGTAATCATGAAAACTTAGTGGGGCAGGAGGTGGAGAGGAGAGAGTGAAAAAAAAAAAGAAGGGTCAGACTTTGCCATTGTTTATCAGTGTCCAGGAAGAAATCCACTTGATTATGGTATATCCATACAATGGAAAAATCAGATATCTTGGAAAGATATCCAAGGTATAATATGAAGTGAAAAAACAAGGCATACGATGGTGTGTCTAGAGTACTACCAGATGTTCATATAAAATATGAGTGAAAGACATACACAAACATGTATATCTCTATACATATAGAATATCTCTGGAAGGAAGCTCGGATATTGGCAGGGATTGGAGAACCGGGAACAGAGGTGGGAGCATGATTCTGTTTTCACTGCATCCTCTTTTTTTATTTGAATTTTTTAGCATGTGCATGTTTATTATTATTTTCCAGGAATAATAATAAGTAGTAAATAAAAAGAACAGTAGATAATCTGAAAAACTGTTTTGTAGTTTTGTTTTGTTTGACTTGAGCAAGTCTGCTACACACACAAAAACAATGAAGGAGTAGATAAAATTGGATGTGCATTCTAAATTCCTTCCTTTCCCTCTGATTCTAGCTGTACCAAGGCCCCTTCTAAAATTATAATGGGCTTTTCATATACATAAGTCTAAAAAGAGAAAATGACCTGCCCAGGAAGTGCACTGTCTTCTGGTCCCCTCGGGGTTATATTTCTTATTCTAAATTGATCATCGCCTCTTGGAAGTTTGACTATAATAATTGTGTTCCTCTATGCCTCATCAGCATACCGACATCTGAAACTCCAACCAGAAAACCAGATCTAGTAGGGGGATTTGCCCTGAATAGCGACAGTTAGTCAGTCTGCAACACTCCATTTGCCGAGGGGGTGGCTAATGGCCAGAGGAGAGGAAGAGCAGGTTGCCTAAGTGGCCCCCATGCCTATGTCAGCCATGCTCCCCACCTCCACTCTGCAAGCTCTTCCGCTCGCCATTCATCCAGCCCTTTATTCCATGGAACCCAGGCCATTTCTGGCAGGAAAGGGAGTAATGCAAATTTTTCTCACTAGCCAATAGTTCTGTACCTCATGGGAGGGCTAAAATATTAGCAAAGGACCTGTCGTGAACCAAAAGAGACAAAACAAAAAACAAAAGCAAGCCTGAGCTATCTGGAGACTGTGTCATTAAAAATGATTTCATCCCACTCGGCTCCGGAGATGTGATTTACAGGAGGCAGTCAGCCTACCCGGGTGGTGGGAACTCATTTTTAATAAATGATAGCGAGTAGGTTTATCCCAACCTGTGACTATGAGTCACCATATTTGAAGTTGTCTGACACCATCAGAAACAAATGACCTTGTCCAGGGGACTTTTTCTTTCAGGGAAACGAAGTGCATTTCCTGAAAGTGGGATTGAAGCACGAACGTCTCAGATCCGATAAGCCAGAGAGGCGTGGGCCTGTCAACAGAGGACCAGACCACATTGTCGCCAGGGTCCCTTCCTCCTCAAGAGGTCTGTGATTCAGCGTGCTTGGAAACCTGGTAGGAAGAACAGCATTTAATTCTGACTAAAACTGAGCTGTGGTGGGAGAGGAGGTTGCATCACGTTTTGGGGGGAAAAAACGATACACTTGTGATTCCTGCTGTCGCTAATAATAGTGCAAATTAATAACAGGCCCAAAGCTCAGCAACTGTTTGTCGCTTCAGATTCCCTTTCACTGTGATGGAGCACCTTTCCCAAGGGTGAAAGGAGGAGACTGTTCACAGGCGCACGGGTATCTGTGATGTGTCGGGCTAGGGGCCAGGGACATGAAGAGGGATTCTTTGTGAATCCCCGCAGACGTAGGAGTGACAGGGACAATGGCACTGTCAGAGGCCACAGTGTCACCCCTTTGACGGACACTTGCCTTCCACAGTCTGGGAGCTGCACAGAGCTCAGCTTGGGGCGACTGGGGACGGTTTTCCAGAGGCAGTAGTGAGCGGCCTACTACAACCTCCTTTTCTTCTCTTCTCCCCATTTCTTCTGCTTGTTTGCTTCTTGCTTGAAAGGACCATTCTAGGGGTGCCTGGGTGGCTCAGTCGTTAAGCGTCTGCCTTCAGCTCAGGTCATGATCCCAAGGTCCTGGGATCGAGCCCCGAGTCAGGCTCCCTGCTCGGCGGGAAGCCTGCTTCTCCCTCTCCCACCCTCCCTGCTTGTGTTCCCTGTCTCGCTGTGTCTCTCTCTGTCAAATAAATTAATTAATTAAAAAAAAAAAAAGAAAGGACCATTCTATCATCTAATAGTGCATTTTTTTAAGGCAAGAAGAAACAGGTGTTTGGGATCAGAGAGAAACTGGAGTGGTGCTTTCTCTATTAGCTAGAAGAGGGAAGACTGAGATTGGAGTCTGACTCTCAAGCCCAAAGAAGAAGGTAAAGTACAGGGGAGGTAGGTCCGTCCAAAGCCGAGCAACCTAAAACTCACTTTATTTCTAGTCTTTGTTTTGTTGTAATTTTGGTCCAAACAAATGATGACAAACAGACCCATGTGCGCTTGCTTATATCAACAGGAAAAATCTCTAGAAAAACACGCAAGAAATATAACTTTCTTTGCTTCCAGGAGGGAACTTCCTGTACCTTCTTCCTGTTGAATGAGGTGGGTAGATTACCTATTCAGGCTAAACATCAATAAACTGTATAGAAAACAGAATGTTTCTTAACTAATGGGTATAAGGAAATGGTGGTTCCCATCTGAGAAGTAATGGGTATGATGTGATAGGGAATTGAACCTTTCAGCAAATGAAACACTTCTAGATGAATGTCACAGTAGGAGGTCTTACAATCAGATATACACACACACACACACACAGCCCACTTCCAATACATGACGGCATAAAAAGGTTGTGGTTTTGAGATTCAAGAATATGTAAATCTTTAATATTTCTATTTTAATAGTTGTACAAGTAACACATGCCAGATGTAGAAGATACTGAAAATATTTTTTTTAAATAAAATTACACTTACTCCCACAATCAGAATGAACTACTCCAAGTCCTTGCTCTGCCTATAGATGAAGTAGAGTCAAGATACAAGACCCCTTTTTGGTCCCCTCTGACAAAACCTCAGTGTAGAATTGGCCCAGAGGGAGAAATCCCTTTTAAAAAATCTGCCAGCCCCAAATCCATAGCTTGATGTTTTGAATATTTTCCATTTTAAGTCTTTCAACAAATAAGACAACATTTTTTTCTCTCTCTCTCGGGGTCATCAAGTATCTGATTCCCGCAGTGTGGAAGATTCTCTAGGATCCCTTCAGAAAATATCTGGGCCTTTCCTAATCTGGATGGACTAAGGTCAAGCTTTTCCTGAAAAGAGGAGGTGGGCCACCATTAACCATGGGCTTCTCTGTGGCCCACCAGTGATAGAGAGGTTCTAACCTTGAACTAGGTCAGCTGCACCCTTTTCCCACCTCTGTACTCCAACACTCCCTCCAAAGAAATACAATTCAATTTGTTTACTGCATTATGTTTCTTAAGTTAAACTCCCTTTGGAGGGCTAAAGTAAAGTGAAATCCCGAGATGCCACCAACAGAAGGATGAAAGGTATATTGTTTAACACTGTTTAGAGGTATAGTCCGTCAATATGGCAGACACAGCGATTCACACCATGTGCACATTAGACTCACTTTCCTTTACATCACACTGTGATAGAATATCGCAATTAAAAGCAGGGCTTTGGAGTCAACCAGCCCAGGATCCCATTACTGGTGCTGCCAGTTATTTAATTGGGACTTTGGGCTACATTTTTATTCTCTTAAGTCTCTATTTCCTCATCTACAAAATCAAGATAATAATACCTTCCTCATGGAGTTTTTGTGAGATTTAGATGAAAAGGTATTAAAACATGAGCCCAGTGCAGGAAGCTTTGTGCACACTGAGTCAACATTATCTGTTATCGTTGTTCACATATTGTGGAAACAAGAGTGACTGTCTCCTAGGTGAGTCAACATTGGTCATAGTTTCCTGTCCCTTTCTGCCCTTGCCAGTCTTTGACACTTATTCTCGTCCGTTGGGAATAGAGGAAAAAAGATCCATTTAATTCCGTGTGTCTGGTTTTCTTTATTGGGTTCAAGCGGTTGAGTGAAATTGGGTTTTAAAATATGTATGAATTTCAAATGCCTCTGTCAGCTTTGGTGGCATTTCCTAACAATCACTGAGAGCCGGTTAATGTTTCTCTTATTTCATACAGGTTTAGCCATATTTGGCCAAATTCTTCTGTTCTATTTTTCCAGGTTCTAAAGGCCTTGACGTCTCAGGAGCCATAAAAGTAACAATTCATGTCTTGGGCTCCATCTAGTTCCATCCCTGCTACCCCCACGACCCACCCGTATGAGTGAGCAAACAACCCATTGTCAGAAAGGAATGGATTTTATCATTTAGGATTCAACCCAGATCACAGGTGAGCTGTCTTTAAGAAAACTCCAAACAATAAAAAGATGGCTTAAAATGTTTTTTTTTTTTTTTTCTTCTAAAATCCTAGATAGTCTGGGAAGCTTGGCAAGGAGTTTTCAAAATCCTCTTGGTCCCATGTGAAAAATGGAGACCACCGACATCAGCTCCCAGCTTCCCCAGACAAGAAGAGAACATCCCAGTTGCTCAGGGACCCAGCAAGTGACTTCAGAGGACTCGGGAGTGCCCAACCACTCTTTTCTAGATCATTGTGCGAAAGGGCCCAAGGTCATAGAATTTGGAATTTTTTTACATAACAGGACACATTTCCTATATCCCACAGCAGTGAGAAAAGTCAGCATGTAAGGCACTTGTGTTCGAAACGAACACTTTCCCACCAAAATAAAGATAGAGCCATGTAGATTGGCTTAATTCCAACTTGCTTGATATGTTCTGTAAATTCCTCCAGTGTGTTCCTAAAAGGAGACTATGAGAACACGTACTGTACTCCCACGGCTTTTCCCCTCCCCCCCCCATTCTGCTCCTACCATTCCCACCCCACCCCTACCCAATAACAATAACCAAAAAAAAAAAAAAAAAAAATTTAATAAATAGGATGCCTTGCATTTGCGTGATAGGTTTTCCTAAAAGGAGGCTGTATCCTGTTTATTATGAGGGGGCAAACTAGAACGGAGTAACTTAAGCCATTAATACAAGGCACGGATGTATTAAATAACACAAGGGCTACGGGACCAAGAGTGAGTTCTCCCGCCAACATCTCCACATTGAGGAAATGAAGAGAGAAGAAGAACGCAAAAGCCCAGCCCCGGACATCAAAGCCTAGCAAATAGTGGCTTCTTAATCCAAATTAAGAAGAAGCTATAAGCTAGGAGTCAGGAACAGCAGGATAGTTGCTGAGAAGGCAAAGCAGGTGAGTAGAGAAGGGGAGGACTTGGTGACTGAGGGAGGAGGCAGGGGAGGCTGTCAGAAGAGGGGACGAAATTTCCACTGGTAGGGCGACCACACGTCCCGGCTGCAGACCCAGTTCCCTCTCAGAACTGTCCTTGTTTGGATGATAAATTAGCTAGTCACCCGACCAATGGGACACGTTATCAAGGCATTAAATGTTCCACGAGGGACAATAAGGAAGATTCATTTTCTTTTTTTAGAAGAGACAAAACATAGGTGAGTTGATTGATATTCCATTGAGGATGTTGCAAGTTACCAGTGTCAACAGAGAAGAGTTGATAAGGCACAGAGCGGAGCCCAGGGGTATTATTATCCCTCAGGGACATCACAGCTTATGACCACGCTTTGCCCTTTGAACTCCCTGTGTATTTGTACTTGCACTTTGTCACCACTTATAACAGTCTGTCTTATACTATAGCTATGTGCCTGTCGTACCTACAGAATATTTCTTCTACTCAGAGGTGAATTCCTTAGGGTAGAGAGGATGCCTTTTTCCTCCTCTTTGGATCCTCACCCAGTGACTAGAAGCGGTTTGTACATAGAGAAGTAATAAATTCTTGTATCTCCCATTAGAATGTTATAATTGAGGCTGCTAGCTGCCCACCGAAATCCGTTTCATCCTTATTTCTGGGCACATAGCTGACCACATTTCCCAGACTCCTTTGCGGTCAGGAGCACTCCATGACTAAGTTCTCCATCAACAGAATGTGAATGGAAATGGTATGTGTCACTTCTAGGTTTGAGCCTGGGAAAGCGGTTGCGTCTCCTCTGTATTCTTTTGTTCCTGCCTTCCAGCAAACCCGCCCACCATCCAAGCTTCACCCATGTAGCAATTATAAGACCCTGGTTGATGGTACAAAGGACTAGTGGAAGGAAACTTGGTCCTTGATAGTTTGTGTGGAGGAGAGCTGTCTGCCAAACTGGAATGTTCCCTTGGACTGTTATGTGAGAGAAAAATAAAATTCTGTCTTCTTTAACCACTGAATAATCACTATGTCTCTATTATTATAGAAGACATTCTGAAGAGCAACCCAAGAGGAAGAGTATTACCCCATGATACCATTCTCTCCATTTTTCTTCATCAGATGATAGTAGCCAGTAAAACCCATCTGCCTATTATGATAGCTAGCCCTGACCCAACTAATAGAAATATAAACTCCAGTAGGTTGGGGATCTTGTCTGCTTTGTGCCTGGCAGGAAATAAGCATTAACGAGTATTTGTTAAACTAACTTCTGATTTCACCAAGCCACTGTGTGATATTCTTTGATTTCACAAGCAAAATTTTCTATGAGAAGAAAAATAAGAAGCACTTATTCACCAGTGTATATGAACTCAACTGTTATTTGTATCCATGTATCAGTCAGTATAAGCTAGGTTATGCTGCAAGAACAGAAACCCCCCGATGTAAGTGCTATATAAGAACAAAGTTTTATTTATTGCTATCATTTACCCATCCATCATGGGTTTACAGGGGAATCCTGCTCATTGTGTGATTCAAGGATATAGAAAGATGGAGTACCTCCCAGCTAAATGTCAATCACTGCCACAAAGAAAAAAAAGATGGCCGTGGAGGGTCTTGAACTAGCATCTAAAGTGACAACCGGCCTGGTTTTCTAGAGACTGTCTCGGTTTAATGCTGTAAACCCACATCCTGGTAAACCTCTTAGTCTCAGGCAAATTGGGGTGGTTGGTCACAGTTCTAGCCCAGAAGTGACACATATCATTTATATTCACAAGCCAATGTCTAGAATCAGTCAGCTGGCTTCACCTAACCACAAAGCGGGGCAGGGAAGTGCAATCTAAAAATATGGCCAGAAGTGGAAAGAACCAGAAATAGTTGCCAACCAACATTAGCATAATCTCTTATCATGAATTGGTATCCTTATTTTTTTTCCAAGATTTATTTACTTACTTTAGAGAGATAGAGTGCACGAGTGGGGGTAGAGGGAGAGGGAGAAGAGAAGCAGATTCCCCATTGAGCAGGAAACCTGATGCAGGCTCATGGGGTTTATGGGGCTCAATCCGAGACCATGACCAGAGCTGAAACCAAGAGTCAGATACTCAACCAACCGAGCCACCCAGGCGCCCCATAAATTGGTATTCTTACTTCTAAATCATTCTCTCATGAGTTTTTTTTTCTCCTTGCTTTTGATTCTATGGGAACTTGGTTATATAAGTAAATCCTGAATTTGGCTCAGAGTACTGAATTCCCACCTCTATGCTGAGTTATGCAGGCTCTGTAGAAATAAATAAGCTATAAGCCCTGCCCTCAAAGAGTTTAAAATTATTAGGGGAAATAAGATACAAATATTATAACGTAGGGTAGAAACAGAAGAATATTCAGAGGCTAGGGCATTAAGAATAGAAGCAATCACACCCAGCTGAGAAGACATCCTGAAGAGCAACCCAAGAGGAAGGGTATTACCCCATGATACCATTCTCTCCATTTTTCTTCATCAGATGATAGTAGCCAGTAAAACCCATCTGCCTTAAACGAGTTGAAAACCATTCTCAACCTTTCTGTTTGGAAAATGAAGAAAATATTTTGCCTTGAGAAATGTTTGGCATTTCCCTATTCCTGGTTGTGATCCGTGCAGCCTGAGAAGAGCCATTGTCATACATACTATTTTCGGACATCTAAGCCCAATGTTAAAAAAAAAGGACAATTACACCAAGTCAAGGAGAGAGCTTTAACCACAAGTTGTGTTCAAACTGGATTCCGTTCAGTTTTGTGGTGGCAAAACAGTCCTGCCTCCTACACAGGCTTTGTGGGTTACCCTCCAAAGCCCTGTGAGCTTCCTCCATGTGATTAAAGTCACCGAGAAGTTTTATGATTGAAAACTCCCCTTTGCCTAGGATTTATTTAGCTATTCCTCTGACACACTCTCTCTAACTCGAGCTCCGGTGGGAATTGTACAGGGAAATTTACTCATAAGTTACAAAACCAAGCTAATATGACAAGCAGAGAAGAGCCATCTGGCAAATTGTTTGTAAAACACTTTCCTTGTGTTTGTTAAATCCCTGTTTCCTTGTAAGTCACTTACCAGGAGACCTAGCACACACAGCTGAACCAATGCTAAAAGTCCCCCAAAGCTTTCTTGGTGTGTATCAAAGGCAGGAAAAGAGTTAAAGCCTTCCAGGTATAAAATGTAGACTTAAAAAGGAAGATTCCTTCAGCGTTAGGCATAACGAAAGAGATGCATGCATTATGAAAGACTCAGAACCTTCTAGAACTTCTAATACCTGACATTAACAAAACCAGCCTTTGGTAGCTCAAAGTGCCAGACTGCTTTCTTGGAGTTTACAAGAAGTTGAGAAGGAGAGAGAGAAGGGTGGACATGGACACACACACACACACACACACACACACACACATTCCCTCAGACTTCCAAGGTAGAGCCAAAGTTCTAAGATGGTCAGACATGCAGTGCAGCATTCCACCCAGAACAAGAGGTATGAAAATGAAAAGGCCTCAGACTCTCATGGAGCTGATGGTGGGTAGGGAGCAGGAGCCATTAGACAAAATCCAATCAAGCCCAGCACAGTCTTTAACTAATAAAGCACCAAACGTACTCCATTGCGTTTCAAAGCACAGCTTACATCTCTCTTTGGGCCCTGGGACTATGAAATGCTGAAAGACTTAAATGGGTCTTGGATTAGCATCTGATAATTAGCAATCCCCATTTCTCACTTTGGTCTTTATTCACAGCTTAATTAGTAAAGACCACATTGACTCTTGGGGTTTGGAACAGCAGAGTGGAGCTTCACGCCCCAGCCTGCCACGCCTTTCTCCCTGTCCCCTTCCTCCCCTCTGCCTCACTCCCTCCTGACACCAGAAACACAGGAGTGGCCCCAGCCCAACCTCAGCTGCTCTGACTGCTCAGCAGCTGACAGTGTGGGCTGGGGTGTGGACAGCTGTTGTCACTCGGGTTCCTACAGAGGGGAAGACGCCAGAGGTAGAGACCTGCAAAATGGATAAAATGTGTTTGAGTCAACGGAGGCGATGTCAGATGACAAATTTGCAAAACAGGAGTTCCCAGCCTGAAGCGAATGAAGGGATTTAGCAGAGCCCCCAGCTTCCATGGGCCCCCACGCGTGGGAGGTGTCCCACACCACGTGCTCACTGACTTTCCATGAATTCACCCCACTCTAGCGTGAGTGATGGTCCTCGTGAATCCACTAGTGCTGGGAAGAAGATAGGGAAATGTACTGGTTAACATCCTTAAGTGCTGGCTGTCCCAGACTCGTGGGTGGGGGGCGGGGTCTTGTTTAAAGTCTTGTGTCAGGGATCATAAAGTTTTCTACTTCACTTTCTTTTTTTTTTTTTTTTAAGATTTATTTACTTATTTTAGAGAGGGAGAGGGTGGGGGGGAGGGAGAGGGAGAGAGTCCTAAGCAGACGCTGTGCTGAGTGTGGAGCCTGATACAGGGCTCGATCTCACGACCTCGAGATCAGGACCTGAGCTGAAACCAAGAGTTGGGTGCTTAACCGACCGAGCCACCCAGGCGCCCCTCTGCTTCACTGTCTCCATCTCTCTAGTGGGGATGGTCAGAGTCAACCCCACATCTCCTGCTGGCACGTACTGTCTCCACAACCTTAGCTTTGCCAGACTTTGGAGAAGAACGTGTTGATATTTAAAGAAAGTTATTGGGTTTGAAAAGGTGGGACAAAGCAATGATCACCAGAACCAGAATGGTGAGGAGGACGAGACCAGATAGTTCACCTAAGAGGCAGTCACGATTAGGATCTCAGGAGAGTTGATCAACACATGGTGCTTCTTCGTCCCTGGACTTTGAAGAAGAAAATTATTTAAAGAAAGATATCTATAAATATGATGCATTGGAAGGATTGGGAAGCTGAAAAATCAAACAGTTTTGTTTCAAATAAAGTTACCAAGTCCTGGACATTTTCATGCTGGCCTCTCCAGACAGCTTGGTGTCTAGTACACATCTTCAGAAATT